CCCAATAAGCTCCCTCTCTCTGTCTCTCCTGCCAAACTCTTTGGCTACGTCTAGACTGTCATAATTTTCTGCAAATGCTTTTAACAGAAAAGTTTTTCCGTTGAAAGCATTTGCGGAAAAGAGCGTCTAGATTGGCATGGACGCTTTTCTGCAAAAGCACTTTTTACGGAAAAGTGTCCGTGCCAATCTAGATGCGGTTTTGCGCAAGAAAGCCCCGATCGCCATTTTCACCATCGGGGCTTTTTTGTGCAAAACAGTTTTTAGCTGTCTATACTGGCCCTCTTGCACAAAAACATTTCTGGAAAAGGGCTTTTGCCTGAATGGGAACGTCAAAGCATTTGTGCAAGAAGCACTGAATTTGGACACTAGAACGTCAGTGCTTTTGTGCAAAATCAAGCGGCCAGTGTAGACGGCTGGCAAGTTTTTGCGCAAAAGCAATTGCGCAAAATCTTGCCAGTCTACACGCACCCCTGCTGTGTAGATGTAACTTCAGTGGAGATACCTGAGGTCACCCCTATCTCCCCCATGTGGGAAGATGGAAACTTCTGGCTAGAAGGTAACACACTCACATGACTTGTAGGACAAAGGAGTTGGGAGCAAAGAAGACTGGATTCACCTCAGAGAAGGGTGAGCTGCAAAAGGAAAAGCAGGTGGAGCTGAGAGAAGAGAGTTGCAAACAAATGTTGTAAACAGCCCTAAAAGATTGCTATGTGGGAATTAATAAATGTCTTAAAAAAATCTTTTCTCTGCCCTAGACAATATATTTACCATGTGCTTCTGTTCCTTCAACTCTGATGTCTATTAAGCTATGAGCTCCGGATGCAATTTTTCCAGCACTCACATTTACAGGGTGCTCTCGCATGTGGGTCCTCTGATGATTAATAAGGCTTCCGCGCCAAGTGAACTGCTTCCCGCACTCAGAGCACTCATAGGGTCGCTCTCCTGTGTGAATCCTCAGATGTCTAGTAAGGTCTGATTTGCAAGTGAAGCTTTTCCTGCACTCACAGCACTCATAGGGACGCTCTCCTGTGTGGATCCTCTCATGATTACTAAGGTCTGACTTGAAACTGAAGGTTTTCCCACACTCAGAGCATTCATAAGGTCTCTCTCCTGTGTGGATCCTTTGATGCCTAATGAGGGATGAGCTGTGTGTGAAGCTTTTCCTGCACTCACGGCACTCATAGGGTCTCTCTCCTGTGTGGATCCTCTGATGTTTAACAAGGTCTGAGCTATGAGGGAATGATTTTCCACACTCAGAGCACGTATAGGGTCTCTCTCCTGTGTGGATCCTCTGATGTTTAATAAGGCCGGAGCTCTGAGTGAAGCTTTTCCCACACTCACAACACTCATAGGGTCTCTCCTTTGTGTGGCCTGTCTGATGTTCTTTCCTGCATTCACAGCATTCATAGGGGCGCTCCCCTGTATGCATCCTCTGATGTTTACTAAGATCATATTTGAAAGCAAAACTTTTCCCACACTCAGAGCATTCATATGGTCTCTCTCCGGTATGGATCCGCTCATGTCTAATAAGGGTTGAGCTCCGAGGGAAGCTTTTCCCACACTCACAGCACTTGTAGGGTCTCTCTCCCCTGTGGCTTCTCTGATGTTTGATAAGGCTTGATTTCTCACTGAACTGTTTTCTGCACTCACCGCATTCATAGGGGTGCTCTTGTGTGTGGATCCTCTGATGCTTAAGAAGAGCTGAACTCTCAGGGAATGATTTCCCGCACTCGGAGCATGCATAAGGTCGCTCTCCTGTGTGGATTTTCTGATGCTTAATAAGGCCTGAATTCTGAGCAAACTTTTTCCCGCACTCAGTGCATTCATAGAGTCTCTCTCCTGTGTGGCGTGTCTGATGTGCAATAAGCTTGGATTTCTGAATGAACTTTTTCCCACACTCACTGCATTCATAGGGTCGCTCTCCTGTGTGGATTCTCTTATGATTAATGAGTCCTGTTCTCCACGTGAACTGTTTCCCGCACTCACAGCATTCGTAGGGTAGCTCTCCCGTGTGGATCCTCTGATGTCTAAGAAGGGTTGAACTCCGAGTGAAGCTCTTCCCGCACTCAGAGCACTTATAGGGTTGCTCTCTTGTGTGGCTGGTCTGAGATTTAGTAAGGCTGGATTTCTCACTGAACTGTTTCCCGCACTCATACCATTCATAGGGGCACTCTCCTTTGTGGATCCTTTGATGTCTCATGAGGGTGGAGTTCAGACTGATGTTTTCCCCACACTCCATGCAGATGTTTTTGGCTTCTCCCATAGCTATTCTCTGCTGGGCTGCAGCTTCCTTGAGAGTCTGGTCAGATCCCTGATTATTAATGTATATGGCCACTTCCTCACTGGGCTGGTTTCCCTGCTCCCTCTCCGGCCTGTGCTGACTCTCACAGGCTGCCCCCAACACACAACACCTAGACCCATTCTCTTTGGAGCCTTGTGCTAATCCCCCATGTGGTTCCACTTGCTCAGCATCTTCCCACTGAGGGTTCAGCTCCTGGTTCTCACTCCCCATCCCAGCACCTGCTGGGACAGAGAGAGAAACCTCAGAAACAGGGCCAGGAAAATGGAAAACAAACCAAAATTAGAGCTGGAAAGACAGGGAAAAATAAAACCATAGTGGCTGAATTCTGTTAAACTCTTCCCCACAGGGCAGAGTGAAGGAGAACAATTCTGCCTCCACATGCCAGCAGGGAGAGAGCTATTTCCAGGTGTTAGAATGGGTCGGAAGCCAGAAGCGACAGCTGCCTTGTGGCTACTAGGCCTCCTGGAGATACTCCTGAACTCAGAGAGCTCACAGGGCCTGTTCAGGGAGTCCCAGCGGTTTGCTTCAGGCACTGAGAGTTTTTGAGTTGGTGTAATGATCCCTCACCTGCACAGGCACTTCTTGGGATCTCTCCGTCCACAGAGCCTTGGAGCTCTGGGACCCCCGGCTCCTCCCCTTGTTCCAGCTGGGAGATCATATCAGGCTTGGCAATAGGACACGCTGCTCTGGGGAAAGGAAGCAAGTGAGACTGGAGGAATTCATGGGACATTTGTCACAACAGAGTCTATTCCTTTTCTCCCAGCCCTTTTTAAAGCAATCACATCCAGAGGTATGTTTCCCAATGCTCAAAGATGCAGGAAGTTCTGATCAGGGATTTAACTATCCCCTCTCTCCTGGGAACACACCCACCCAGACCCTGCTCATCAAAGGGGCTCTTAAAACCCAGAGACAGGAACTCCATGTCCCAGGAAGTAATGGCTCCAGCCACAGGGGAGGTCACCCTGGATCTGATTCTGATTAACAGAGAGAAAACCAAGGAGAATGGAGAGCTGTAAGGAAGCCGGGACTGGTAATCATGCACTGATGGGATTCGGTGCACTAAGGAATCGGAGGTTTCACAGTACTGGATGTTAGTATGAACAGGCAGGTGATCACTGTTGCACACACTGGTGTGTGTTTGCCCACACTTCTGTGGAAGGTGAGCCATGTGTGGTGTCAAATGAAAGCTTATGCCATGCTACTTCTGTCTATGCTGCATATATACATGTTGTATGAGTCTTGTGTGTAAAGTTATGAATATGGGCTTTGTATTTATATTTTAAATGTTTTCTGCTGGGAGGGTGATTGCTGGATGCTGCATGGACAATGGCTCTGAAGGGCTGCCAATTGACACCTGAGGAGCACACAATGGCCCCTGGCCTGAGAAGGACACACCCAGGGTTTCATGGCCCCTTGCCTAAAAGGGACAGAAACTGGTTTGTGGGTCATGTGATCAGTCCATTTTGGGAGGCACTAGCAAGTACCTGTCTGTGAGCGGGGGAGGGGGCAGAAGTCTTAGGGCACTGCTCCTGCAGGCAAGCACTGCCCCCTGCAGCTCCCAGTGGCCTGGAATGGGAAACTGTAGCCAATGGGAACTGATGGGGCCATAACCAGCAAAGAGGGGCAGTGGGTGGAGCCATGTGTTCCTTACCCCCAAGGCCACAGGGTCTTACAGAGCCAGGAACCCCCTCCTGCACCTTCACCCCTCCCAGAGTCAGTGCCACCTCTACAGCCCTGCCTCAATTCCCCTCCCAGAGTCAGTGCCACCTCCTGCACCCTTGCCCCAATCATGGAAAGCCAGCATCCCAAACCCCAGCCCTGAGCCCTCTCCCAGAGCCAGCAGCCTGCTTCCCCGTGAGCTGTGAGCCCAGACCCAGCACCCCACACTTCACCCTTGACCCTCCTCCCAGAGCCAGTACCTCAAAATACCATCCCAATCCTGTGCCCCCTCTCAGAGCCAGCACCCTATACCCCCTCCTGCACCTTGAACCCCCTCCTCGAGGCACCACATCTACCCCCTCCTGTACATCAAGTCTTAGAGCCAGCACCCCATACTCCCTTCTGCACTCCAAACCCCAAGCCCTGAGCCCCTGCACCAGCCCCGGAAAAGGGAGGGAGGGAGGGAGAGTGAGCAACAGGGCGGGAGGGGGATGGAGTGAGCAGGAACTTGGGGAAGGAACAGGATAGACCTTGGGTTGCTTTACATTCCAAAAGTGATCTTGGACATAGGAGGGTGGGGACCACGGATCTAGCACAGGGTCCTGTCTGCCCGCAGCAGCCACTGCCAGGTGCCCCAGAGGGAATGAACAGAACAGGGAATCATCAAATGATTCCTCCCATAACCCATTCCTATCGTCTAGTAAACAGAGGCTAGGGACACAGCCCTGCCCATTCTGGCTAATAGCCACTGATGGACTTAGCTTCCGTGAATCTATCTAGTGGCAGAGCATCTAGGAAACTCTCAGGCGAGGGGAGAAAGAGAGAGTCCTGGCTCTCTCCCAGCAGATCCATCCCATCCCTACTAGCCAGGGACTGATACTAGAGATGCAGCCCCTAGCAGGGCCCAGGGACAATTCCCTGGTAGACCTACCAACACACGCTCTCTGGTGATCGCCAGGCAGGGGGAGGCCGTGCAGCTCCTGTGTCCTGCCTACTGGAGCACAGGGGAAGGCAGGGTGGATAAGGAAGTGTGTGCGTTGCTGTGGGGAGGGGAGGAGCAGCAAGTGTACACGTTTCCCCATAAGCTGGATCCAGCACAAAGCCTCGTGGCTTCCCTCCCCACCAGGAAGCGGGTGCTGGCTCCAATCTTGCGGGGGAGAGTGAAGCTGTAGTGCCAGTTGAGGGAAGGAATGAGGGGCGCTGAGCTTGAGTCACAAGCTATATTTGGCTCCTACGTGAGCCATATATATATGGCTTGCGAGCCATAGGTTGCCAACCCCTAAAAGGGTGTTACAAGGAGGAGGGAGAAAAGTTGTTCTCCTTGGACTCTGAGGATAGGACAAGAAGCAACGGGCTTAAATTGCAGCCAGGAAGGTTTAGGTTGGACATTAGGAAAAGCTTCCTAACTGTCAGGATGGTTAAACACTGGAATAAATTGCCTAGGGGGCGGGGGTTGGAATCTCCATCACTGGAGAAATTTCAGAGCAGGTTGACAGACACCTGTCAGTGATGATCTAGACCAGGGCTACTCAACTTGGGAAGGCCCAGGGGCCACAATGATACTCACAGCAAGCACATCCTGAGGGCTGCAATTTAAGTGTGGTTGCACATATATGCAACTATATGCAAATAGCTTCTTTCACACTGACAGGCATGAATACAAAGATTAAGGCAAGACTACACAAAATGCAGGCCCTATTTAAGTCAGTTCTGCTGATATGAATAAAATGCAATAGTTACCCAATTTCCACCCATACCACAGCACTTTTAAGGAGCAATGACAGTCCAAGAATTGAACTACTAAAATGCCTGTCAACAGAAGACCATTATATTGACTACTTTTTTGTTCTGGCTCCCACCTGTGGGCCACATGGTGAGCCCCACATAAGTCCAAACTGTACCACAGGCCACAAGCAAACCGGCTGTGTGTTGAGTAGCCCTGATCTAGATGGTGCTTGGTCCTGTGGTGAAGGCAGGGGACTGGACTCCGTGACCTCTCAAGGTCCCTTCCAGTCCTAGTGTTCTCTGGTTCTATGATTTCTACCAGCATCTGGGAGGGAAGTGGCACAAACAGAGGCAGGAGGGGTGGAGGATAAAGCTTCCCCCTGGAGGGGACTCTAGCTCCCTGCCCCCCCCTCCACTGGAGGCCCTGCGCACACTTTGACCCATGCCCTAGGGGACTGGACTCCGTGACCTCTCAAGGTCCCTTCCAGTCCTAGTGTTCTCTGGTTCTATGATTTCTACCAGCATCTGGGAGGGAAGTGGCACAAACAGAGGCAGGAGGGGTGGAGGATAAAGCTTCCCCCTGGAGGGGACTCTAGCTCCCTGCCCCCCCCTCCACTGGAGGCCCTGCGCACACTTTGACCCATGCCCTCCGCCCCTCCAGTTCCCTTCACCTGCCCCTAGCCACAGCCTCTCCTTTCCTCCTCCCATGCCCACGAGGAAGGTGGGACTGTAGTGACCTCATGGGAGGGAGGAGATGTCACAGGAGTCGGGGGATGAGTCG